CTACCCCACACATAAAGCGAGACACAATGAATAAAGTATATTTTGTAACGGGAAGAACAAATTACTGATACTATTATGGGTGAATCTGTTTATAAAAAGACAAAAAATATTTTTACATGTTACATTCACTACATAGTCAAAAATATTATACTCTAACAGCAGCCATTAATTCTCGATCTTATTACGCGATGTAGGTAAAATATTTAGCACAAAATCTGAAGAGCTTTCTAAGAATAACATAAAAAGAAGAAGAAAAGAACAACCCTACAGATTTAAGAAATCTTCTTCTTATAGTGCCTCTCCAACTAGTGAAGGTTGGCTATCAGCTTTTTACTGTCTTCTTTATTTATAGCTCTGCGAAGTAACTCAGCGGCGCTGGCTATTCCGGTCCACTCTCGGATGTTTCGTAACCACGATTTCTTTCTTCTGCCAACCTTCCTCTTTCCAGCGACCTTTCCCATCATGACGAGCTGCAAAAGACTGTATCGCTGATGTCGAAAAACATGGCCCAAGTAGGAGATCTTCATTTAAGAAATAAATTTAAGAAATAAATCAAGTCAATTTATTAAAAAGCCATTTAAGAAATAAATCAAGTCAATTTATTAAAAAGTTTAATATAGTAATGATTATTTCATTTTAAGTTTTTGTATTTATATCAATTAAAATACTTATATTATATATCAAATTCTAAGCTTAATTTCATCATAAATCAAAGTTCGGTTTAAAGACAATTACAGGACGACAGACGTAAGAGATCGACATGATTGCGGCCTTTGACACTATAGTACAAAACATAATCACCTCTAACATCACACAAATTATTCAGTATCTTTCTGATTAAATAACATTAAAATGGTATTTAGAATGTAGGTATTATAATACTATATTGGCTTCAAATTAAGTTACTCATTAGTCTTACTTATGGCTTGCACCTACAACAACAATAATAATGAACACTTTATTGCAAACAACACAAGAAATAAATAAAAAAGTGAAATATATAACAAGAAAAGATGCACAGCAAGCGACCTTCTCGTTAGAAACGATCTCTTCCAGACAACCTTAGGGTAGAATTAGAATCAGTATATAAAACGGTAGGCGGTGTACTTGCATAAATACATACATAAATAAATACATACATACATCCATAAATACATACAAACATATATATAAACAGTATAACTGAAAAGTATAATCAATATGTTTATTTAAGTTACATATTTCAAATAAATACATAGCTATAACCTTTATCTATTTCATTATTTCTAAAAGTATATTAAAATATATTTGGTGTTTTTTTTTTAAATTTTGAAAAAAGCTATAAGTCTGTTAAGCAATTCCTGTAGACTCATTATTAAAACCACTCATAGCTGCATATTGAAATGGCCCTAATTAGAACACGAATGACTGAATGACTTATACAAGCCAGACAAACGCAAGCTATTATTCAAATAAAACAGCATCTGTGACAAGTTACAAAGCATGCGGAAGCAAGAACAAGTGGAGCGGGTATAAAGATAGGCGACGATCGAGAGTGCGTGAGTGGCGCGCACAGGGCTGCCATTTAAAGTTGATGAGATATACAAAAGAGAGACCTAGGAATTGAGACATTTAGAAGGATTAAATGCACATCTTTTAACTAATTTATCATAAAGAAATGTAAACAATAAATATACTTTCATTATCTTCATTTTAATTAATAGTTTAAGATTTTTAGTTTTTACTTTAGATTATAACATTCGAGTGTTTAAAAAGCAAGTAAAACCAAATGTTGATGTTGAAAACATGAAAAATTATTCTAGTCTAATCAAATAATGACAAATAAGAAAGCCAACAATTAAGTCATTATATTGGTTCTCATAACACGGTGTATTTTTGAATCCTCACCTCCAGGTAAATTTCTAATAAATTAATTAAATTTCTAACTTGTTAACTATAACGCCGGCGTGGAGGGATACAAAAAATTACAAATACAAAGTAACTATCTCTCAGCCCTGAAACAACATTAACTTCTTATAGTGTCCATTTATGCGCTATTGAAGGATATTGTCTTTTTTATACCATACAATTATAAAGACTGCACGACTTTGTTTAAATACCGTTGAAATGAAAGTCGATTTGCTGAGTAGATTCATATAAATATGATGATCTTGATCGTTATCTTTATATCAATCCGAGATTTTCAAATATGTATGTAACCCAACCCTAAAACAATGATGAAATTGTTTTGTCTAATAGCTGTAATTCATATATTTTTTTAAGATTTTTCGTTATTGTTAGTAAATAAAAGCCGTTTCTCATTGTTACCGTAGTTTAAATCTTGTTTTTTGTAATATTAAGTTTTGTTGTATATGCATGCTGTGTCTGCATCTAGAAAAATGCAATCTTGTGCATTAATTTTGCAAGCTATTCTTATTTTATATGTATTTGATTGACATTTGTTTTGTGGACCACTAAACATAAATAAATAAATTATAGTTTGTATATATTGAATAAAATATTAATTCAATTCAATTCTTGGTTATTTGGCGCAGATTACTTCGCCAATGTCGTGTAGATAAAATATTAACACTTTCTTAGATTTACGCGGATATTTGACATTTTAAATAAAACTATATTTTCGGATTTTTCGCGGATTTATTTAGATTTTTGGTTCCCGACGTTTCGAATGCTTTACAGCAATCATCATCTCACGCAGCCATGATGTAAGTATGTTAATAAAATTGTATTAATAACCACTTATGCTCATCTAATAGAATTAAGCAATTCGTCATAAAAATCGATATAAAACAAGAAGAACCACTAAGGTCAGTCGTGACGGTGAATGGGAGCAAGCATTCTTGCGAGTGGACACCTATCAAAGAAAAACGTGATGTTGAAATATTGATGTTATGCATTATTATATTAACCTTTTTGTATGTGACTTCAATTTGCTAGAATCCTTATAATATTACTCGTATAGCTGTCCGTGTGTCCGTTCGTTAGAACGTACATACATATATTCTCCAATACTACCTTCTGCCTCAGACAGAGAAAGTTATATAGAATGAATATATTATATGGATTTAGGTGAAGCAATGAGAAGCAATGATACATAATTAAATTCTGATTTTGGAAGTTAATTTCAATTTTCTTTTAAAAAAATACAAGCATACAGGAAGATGCAGTATCTTCAGAAGAATGTACAAATAAAGCGAGTGATAAAACTGTGATAATCATGTGACCGTCAAACAAAGTTATCTTGTTATCTGGTATCTACTGTTCCGGAGATACTTAAATGTAAACATATCTACAGTGACTACACGACTGCAAGCTATTTGAGTGTATTATGCAATATATGAAAAATTTGTTGAAGAAAATTTATTTCATTGTTAAACCAAAAGTTTAGGTTTCATTGTGAAAGTTTCAAATGTTATCTAAATTTTAAATGATGCTCCAAAATACGTATCGTATAATGTTTTAATATAAGGTATTCTATTTCTTATACGATTTTGAAGAAAGCGAACTCACGTACAGTTGTAAAAGTGAACATGATCTTAAGCTATAATTGAAGGAGATGACCCCCGAGTGAAACGAGCCCATCAAACCGCACGCTAATGACATTTCTTAATAGGATATAAGAAAATAAAGAGTAAAAGTTGTTTTGCAGTTGATTCAAATCTTTAACTGATGAAGGTTACAAAAGAGTCATTTCGGAAAGAATTTTGAAAGTCAAATGTCATGATGACATAAAGATAATTTGTAGGTGAATCTTTACGATAGCTATATTTTACATTTAAGTCACCTTTTGCACAAATTCTTGCCTTTATGACTATTTAAGTAACTGGAACTGCTTTCAACAGGATATAAAAATACGAGTGCATGCACATTGCTGCATAAACATATATTAACAAAATTATTCATAATTTATTTAAAATATGAAAAGTAGAAATCATCAAGTTTTAAAAATATAAACGAAAATGAGCAGTAAATATTTTGATCTTATTAATTTTTTACAGAGTGAGTTTTTAACAAGGCATGGATGGCAAAATCTACATTTATATTAAAATTAAATAGCATAAACTGAGAAAAGCAGGAGGGAATTTTTCTAATTTTTTTTTAATTAAATTAAAATGCATCATTATAATTATTTATTTCTTTACAGTCAGTAGTTGATATCGTTGTTTTTGAAAATGCACATAATATTATGCACCAGCCAAGAATGAAGATAAAATTATCGCAACATACTCGTAATTGTGTATGTACTATTTATGTACACATACATACGTACCTACATACATCTACATATAATATTAGTTAACGAACTCACAAGTAATCTGAGCTCAGCAATCATATAGAAGTAAAAGTTATAAAAGTTTTAGACTTCTTCACCATATTTTATAAGGCAACCTATCTACTCGTAAGTTATGTCTATGTTTTGCACCAAATATTTTTCATCCGAAAAGCAGTTAGAAGTATTACGACAATACTTTAGCTCTTATACTATTATTTATTGCTGGTTGAGGTCGACAAAATAAATAGTATCGCCAAATTACATATTTATAAGCTATGTCACAATTTACTAAACTATTTTCGAGTTGGTTAGTATGTTTTGAAATGAGCAATATCGATTTAAATACGTTATGGTTACAAAACAACGCAATTTATCATTTAAAATAAATCTATATTAAACGAATTAATTTATTGAATTATACTATGCTTATTTTCAATGAAGCAATATTCCATTTATTCACAAACATACAAACAAATATTCATAAATGACTATCACTGTATAATATATATATATATATATATATATACTCATTCAGAAGTAAATACAGGCTAGAAATAAAAAAAAGAATGTTAAAATATGTAACGACTAAAACTGAAAGACATTTAAAACATAAGTCACGTTAGTACCTACGGACGAATGATTTCTACAAATTAGAATTACTTCATAGATTGCTACATCTATTTTTTTATAAACGATATATTTATTATATTATATGAAACAAACTTACCACATTGATTTTTCCAAGAATATGACTTATCTGGTCTTTGCTGCACATTTTGAAGTTTATGGAGACCACTACTAAACTCACGGGCACTATCACGTCATAAGTCAATAAATGTTACCATTATAAATCATTTCATCATGAGAGACTAGGTGTTTCCATCTTTCGTATGATCTGAGAGTCCTTTTAAAGGTCAAGATTTTTATTTTAAGTACGAACGCCATTACAAGTAAATAATGTATTCGAAAAGCCTTACAATTTACAGTCGAAGCTTTAAGCTTTTTGCATTAAGATAAATTAAAAATTCAAATGTACTCAAGCATACCTAACTTATCTACTAGTTCTACGGCCAAAGTTAAAAAAGTTGTCGACCGCTAAAGAATATAATTTAAACAAACTAATTATATTTACATTTCACAACATATTTTTCTAATTATCTGCTTGTCAGATCTATTTGCTTACATTACTTATTAATTATTAAATAACACAGTTCAAACTAAGAAACTCGCCCAATAGAAAGCCTACATAAAGCCAATCAATTATGTTACTTGCAAATTACAATTTCATAGATATTATTGACTATCGACACGAATCTAATATCGGCAGGTATAATTGAGCTCATAATGAGGTTACAAAATTTGTCGGAATGTTGGCGTCGCGTCGTGGCCAATGCTTGGGGTATACATTAATGATCGGTATCAACACTTAATTGTAAATTAAAATTGTTTTATTACTGTTCTCATGTTTTAATAGTCCAAAATCCAAATATTAGCTGATTGATTGCCTACTAAAATTATATTCGTGTAGTACAATCCTTCTAATGTTATAAACGCGAAAGTTTGTGATGAATGTTTGTTGCTCTTTCGCGCTAAAACTACTGAACGGATTTTGATGAAACTTATACATCATAGTAACATCATATAGTTATATATAATTGAATTACGCGTGCAAGGCCGCGGGAGAACGTCAGTAAAATATAATTTGTGTTTTAATAAATCACATTAAATATTATAAATACGAATGTTTGGATTGTTTTTTACTCAATCGCGCCAAAACGGTGGAACAGATCTGAATGAAATTTGGCACAGAGATAGGTTATAGTCTGGGCTTTTTATCCCGTAAACAGTTACGGTTACGTTCCCGTATAGTATACATAAAAGTAAAGAGAGAAAGAAAAATAAAGTATCATAATATAAAAAATATGATATTAAGTTAACTCGGATTCCCTTTACAATTTTATATTATACAACATATCTATTATATTATTTTTTTACAAACGCAAAATAAATTTGCATAAACGCCTATCGATCATTATATTTGCATGTTTTCTAAATAGCGTTAGTGAAATCGCAGGTCTAATTGTTTTATATCTCGTTGTTTACCATAAGAGATTTGCTAAAAGCCCCACACACGTGTACGACCACACCTGTTCATTTGTAAATAATAGCTTAAAAATGATGGCATAACCGTTTAGCTCAACGTCAGAATTTAATAATTCGATATTAGTTAAAATTTATATATGTTACATAATATATTGATTTTTAAAGTCCCAACTAAAAGGCATTTTTCATTAACATTGTGTAACGAAGCAAATATTGTACTTTAATTATATACTAAACACACAGCCTCTAAAAAAATATATATATTTATATGTTATAATGTTTTTAAAACATTATATATAAAATATATATTTTATATATAATGTTTTAAAAACTTGTATTAATTGCGTATTAATTGCTCTATTCATTGGTAGTAATTTCAACTCTTAAACTCATTATAAAGAACTCGTAATGAATACCGTTCATTAGTAAAGGTTATTATATATTTATTGGCAGTAGAATAAACTAAGGTTATATACTTAGCTCATATAAAATTTTTGTTAGTCAATTATTATGACAACGGATTTATTCCATTAATAAGAGATAGAATAAAGCCTCACATAATACTTTCTTAGATTTACGCGAATATTTGACATTTAAAAAAAACGGTTTTTTGCTCGGATTTATTTTGATATAGGAATGATTTCTGAAAATAAAATCACTTTTTGATCGAAATATTTCTAGGCCACATTCTATAAGTATTTTAAACAACATAAAAGCAGGAAAATCGCGAATAACCTTCTTTAACTCATAGTAATGCACCATTTAAATGATATACACGTAAGCATCTACAACTATAACCGTTAGTACGTTTGTTGGTCCGATGATGAGGCATCATGTTGTTTGATGAATATTGATGAAAGGTCCCGAGGTCAAGTGAAAAGGCTGTAGCCGGGCGTAGACGTAAAAGTTAAACCACTTTCGTTCGGACACAGTTTTCTATCTTTAATCTGACGTCAATTATAGAATTTATATTAAAAAATAAAAAAAACTATGTAACTATGTATTTTAAGTATTAAGGATTTAGGTAGAATAAAAATAAGCAATACTCCGTTTACATTTGAAATATACTGTAGATAAGAAATATGTATAAGTTACTAGGACGTAATCCGAAGGGAAATAGTACAAGGCTTTCCGTAAATTGAATGAATGAAACCATAAATATTCCTCCGACATGTGATTTTTATATAACTCAATATTTATCGAGTCAATTAAAATAACTAAATCATTTAAGTACCTATCATGTGAAAAAATATGAATCATTTTACAAATACCTATTTCGATTTTAAAAAGGAGACATAATTAAATTTAAATTATTAAATTTAAAATCAATCCCAAATAATTACCCTTCTTTTTTTAATAGAACAAAAAAGTCGGTCAACAAAAATCTATTTTGTGGAATAAAATCTTAATAAACCTTTTCTTTTTTTTGCAATATTTTCATTTATTTTTATTTATCACAGATTGATTTCAACATACTATTCATCTAATTAATTTGTGTAAATTTCGTGCAAAGTTTTCAAGTTCAGTTTCGGCAAAAAAACGAATTACAGGGTGGGCGGTTATTTGTGCCTGTGAGTGTATTTTAACTTAAAATGTGATAAGATTAGGCAGCGCTGACCATAAGATATTGGTCTCTAAACTAGGGTATTACTTACAAAGGGTGGTCCCATAAATAAACCCATGGCCTAGTGGTCGTATAAACTCGACCATATAGCTCAGTTAGTTACTACAGTCCTCTGTCTCAATATCACATCAATGTATTACCGTAATAGCGCCTATGATTTTAACTTTCGACGCGTTTACATTCCGATGAAAACGAGAGTGGTCTTATTATATCACAGTCATAGACCAGTATCTATATACGTACTAAGGCTCAAAGTCAAAAATACAAACAACAAGGTAAAGATACTTACAATATGCCATTTCATGCATTTGGGCAGTTAAATAAATAAAAAAATATTGGAAGATCGCTTTCACCGAAAATATAATTGATTTTGTTTGCGTAATTTTGATGTAATTTAAATTTTTTCTAGCTATATGTGTAGGCAATTCACTTTAAACTACCTAAACTTTTTTGATTTATGTAATAAAAAAAACTTGACTTTTAACTTCTCTTGCGCTTTGTAGATTTTATGAAACAACAAAAAAAATATAATTTACATACAAAAGATGACGCAATGCTCCACCATAATCATCTCACGGTTTTCACTAAAACCATACATATTTTTTACCCAATATTAACATATAAAACTGTATTGAATACTTTCACCATTACGTAAGTTGGGTTTTGGAAAATTATAATTTACGAAATATCTAAATACTCGAAATGTAGTGAAAACAACAAGCGCGTTAAACATATTTCTGTACAAATGTAGTTGTTTGGTAATTGTAATATTTATTTCTCAATAGTACAATAGCAGGATGAAGAAACAAAAATTTCTCGCGGTATGAACAATTTTCTTGTTTCTGAACACCAAGTTGCACCAGAACAAAAATTGCACCACCTAAGTTTTTGTAACTTAATACTTGTAAAATACGACCTCCCCAGAAATATTTCAAATAAAATGTGTCAATTAACTGTTTTACAGCATGCTAAGCTACTAATTAAGAAATTATTATAATTATTATACTTTACATGATAATATTACAATATGTATTTTGAAGAATTACTTTTGATTTGTTACCTCATACATTTTTCCTATACGTAAAACTATATAAATGCCTTATTTAATCTCGTCAATTACGTATATATTTTATGAAACAAACAATCGAATACTGCAATTTTCACGTCATTGTACCGTATTGTAGGCTGTGACAAACGTTGTAATGTAGGAACTGACGTGCAAATGAAGAGTAAAATTGCCATATTGCGTCGCAAACTGCAATGGCGCAAGTTTTATGGCACAAATAAGTGAATGGAATATTTTTAAGTTTCATAGATAAAGAAAGATAAGAAAAATATAACATAACAATATAATGTATTTATAGATAAATTTCACTTTTTAGTATAGACTTACTACCTACGTTCTTACTCACTAATATTTAATAATTTATAATAAAGAAATACTCTTCCACATTTTTAAATATGTTATTATTACACCGGACAATGGAGAGCAATAAGTACAGCAAGTGATTCTTTAAATTGACATAACTTTTTTATTTACGAACCAAATAAAATAAATCAAACTACTAAATGTTACGTGAAGCTTACCACAAAACATTAGTGAAATCCGCGGAAAACGGTTAGGCCGTTTATGAGATTAACGCGCACAAACGCACAGACAAACACAAAATTTAAAAAAATCATTGTTTTGAGTTCTATTGCGTTAATAAAGACCCCGAATTTTCTCAAATATCTTCAATGTCTATAACAGCGATCATTTACATTTTTTTATATGTATAGATATAAAAACAATTCGTGGGTATACATAAAAATAGTATGTCCCGACGATTGAACTTAACATAAATCATGTATGTAAAATATTTTAATTTTTAATATTATAATTTGCGACATACCACGAAAGTGCTATCTGCATAATAATTCAGGAACTGACGTGCAAATGTAGAATAATGTGCCCCGTTTCATGCAACACCTGGCGTAACTTGTGAATCGACGAAATTAGCGCATGCTTTTCCGATAAGTTAATGATAAGTAAACATAGGAAGCACGTA